AAACAAATTTACTTGGTAAACTAAACCTGTTTATTATTTTGCTGTTAAGTGATTTAGAGTTATTGAGCCCACCTTGTTAACAAATAGTTTTGTTTTTATTACTTTAAGACGGTACTTATAATGGTTGCGTACGTATTGCGTCATCTTATAGCGTAATTGTCTAGTTTGGTTTTAGTGCGAGTAAAAATTTTATAAGAATACAGTTGTGTCTGCGTGTGCATTTGTTACATAATTTTCTCTATATTGACTAATAAATCATTATGGAGTCTAGAAGACAAAGTTATCAGTGTCCTATTATCTGAAGTGTACAAAATATTAAAGACCATATATTGTCTACCTAAGCATATGTCATGAAATATTAAAAATGAAATAGATTACAATTTAAAATAAGCAGAAATACTATAAAAGAGCTATCATTTTTAGATATTAAAGATATTTTTAGATATTGAGATTAGATATTTTTAGATATTATAGATAGATATTGATAGATATTATAGATAGAGCGTGTGTCAAACATGAACAAATAACTATTGTTTAGTAAAAGAGCCACAGATACATTTGCAAATTCTTTTTCTTTTGTTCTCAGAATGAAATCTTTGAACTTGCTTGAAAATAACTAACCGGTTATTTTCAAGCAAGTTCATTTTTAATATTTAACTCTTTTAAATAAAAGTTTACAAAAGATAGACTTAAGGTCATTTTTTTTCTCAAAAGACCTTACTTTTTTTAAAAAAAAAATCAGGATTTAGAGGACCTTTTTTAGAAATCGACTATTGTGCCCCTCCCTCTCTTCCCCCCTCCCCCCTCCACTTTGAAGCCCGTGTCGTTGACTATGAAAGTAAAACACGTATTTACGTTTTACAGATATGGCATGTTTCAAATGAAATAACCAACTCTGAAGTAATTTTATTTTCAAACATAAATTTTGAAAAAATTAATATAATAAAGACAAAAGTAATACTCGAAAAACACCTTCAGTTTTAGAAACCCGTAGATGTTGGTTTGCAATTTTTTATGTAGTTCTAAAAAATGTTTGCTGTTCCAGTTTTTCACGCGTTAAAGGCTTTAAAATATATTTTAAAAAAGTCTTTTCTCTAGCTTCTTTTATTATCTTTAGTGCAGCTTGAAGTTTTTATTTTTTGTGACCGATTATTTTCTTACGTATCGAACTTATTTGTTGCTCTCTTTGACATATTAAGAAACTGAAGATGTTTTCATTCCGATCTTCTACACCAATTGGTTTTAGTTTTTTTCAGGTTGTGCAGCCAAACTTTGTCGAAAACAAATTATATTCCAAAAACAAATGAATCAGTATTCTAGAGAGTCATTTGGTTTTGGAACAAATCTCAGTTTTTTGCTGTAATGCCCAGCAACTTGGCCAGCTGTAATTAGTGTTTTTGCTTGTAGCAAGTAAATCTGACGTTGTATTTTTGATTTCTTGTGTTTCTCTTGCACTTACTTTGATTTTTTTGGAACCGGAGAGTCAACCAAGAAGAAACCGGTGGTTTTTTTCATATTTAGTTTTGTGTTATTTGTTTAATTGATATTTTATATTACTTTAACAAATAACTTAAAATTTGTGTTTTAAAAAATTAATATAAGCCATTATGAGATATTCGGACAAACATTGCATAGGAACAATAGAATTTCCTAGAAACGCAAATGGTTGTGAAACTTACTTAAACAAAAAAAAATTTAGCATCATAAAAACGAACAAAATAAACAAGAAAAAAAGTAAAGAAAAGAAGTAAATTATTCTTAAGCAAATTTAGTTTTTACTAAGAAACGATAAATTCTGGAACGCAGCTCTGTAATTTTTTCATATCTGCTAAACATGTTTTACTTGATCTTTACAACCCACATTTGCAATTTCAATTTAAAAAATTTTAATGAAACTTTTCATCGCAACTTAATACAACAACACTTATTTAAAGTTAACAAGCAAAAATCACAAGCAAAACTTCGGGACGTGCTTTCATCAGTTGTGCCACCATGACAAGCATTTATGACACATTTTCTGGTCTTTTGTATGTGAACCCTTATACTTTTCTTGGCAACTTAAACAAAAAAGTTCTGTATCATCTCTGGTGAAACAAAAAAATAAACAAAAGGAGTGGCTTTATATCCATAGTAGTAACAGCAGGAAGGTTCCTTAAGCAGAAAACTACATGAAATAATCAGTAAAAAGTTAGGATCATATTATTAGGAACATTAGGCGCAGCTTCAATACACTACTGCACGTTTTGAACTGATTTTGACACCCCCCTCTTAGGCGACAAAAAAAAATAGTTAACTATCTTTTCCTATCATGCTGTTTTGACCAGGTTCGGAGTTACCCCGCGTTCGCCATTACCATACTCTCCCCTACTATGAATATTATCATAATGAGTACACTTAATTAATTCAACATACTGTAATCAGTTTATTTTTAAAAAATATTGCTACGATACTGTTTTTTTTTTTGTTTTTTTTGTCGATGTTTTGCGATTTTTGATTGACAAGTGTCTTTTAAAAATATTCTTGACTTTTTTTTTTTTTTTCCTACCCAAAAACTAACTAAAAAAAAAAAGTTAAAATTAAAAGTTTTTATAAATAATAAATATAAAAATAAATATAAAAAAAGCGAAAATTATAAAAAAAAATTATCTAAAAAAAAAATAATAGCAACGTATTTTGACTATAAAATCATTTTCTTATGAAACAATAAGAATAAAACTTTAATTAAAAAAGGATCGCAGACGTAAATCCAGTCGGTCTCTGCTGTCGATAGTGAATTATAAGACTAACATAATTAACATAATAGGATAATACTAATGAATCATAATGTTAAAATAAAAATTTAAAAAATTTTTATTTTAGTTAAAATATAAGTTTTAAGTTACAGGCAATTTATCACACACACACATACACACACACACACACACACACACACACACACACACACACACACACACACACACGCACACACACAGACACACACAGACACACACACACACACACACACACACACACACACACATACCAGTATTTCTATTACAGAAGTAATTTTAAAACACAATTATTATTGCAATATTTATAAATGATGTTTATCATAATCATATAAATAAAATCATACAACAACATTTAATAAAGCTTGAGCAATCTTGTTCAAATTTTTATTCACGTAAAGTTGAGCAATTTACTCTAAAAACGATGAGTAATTAGAAACGTGAATAAAAATTTAACCTAACTTGATGAAGCTTTTATTCACGAAAAGCTGACTAATTACTAAATTTTTATGAATAATGTTTAATGATGATAAAAATAAAATCATATAATAGATATTGCCTTACTAATTTCATTAACAGAAACATGTTACACGCCTGAATAATTTCAAGGATTAATTTACTTATGCCGAGACTCTTCTAATTGAATTAAAAGATTTTAATATATTTGAGATAAATACTTTTAATGTTATTTGCTTTATGTTTATATCTAAAACCAATCTCTGGTTTTTTTTTATAATTTGTATACTATAAAAGAAAAAACTAAATACAATTGACAAAATGGTAACGACAATCGTCTTTCAGCTTATTAAGTCTTAAAATTTTTGAAATGTTTCATTTCATTTTAAAGAGCTTTCTTTCGGAATAAAAAAAATTAAAAAAAGAATTAAAAAAACGTTAAAAAACGTTGCATTTTTTCGAGTGTTTAGCAATTCGTTAAACGTTAGCTGAACGTAAAAAAACGTTGCATTTTTTTGAGAGTTTAGCTATCACTCGTATTTAAATTAAAAAAAAAATTTAAACTTAAAAACGTCATCTTATTATGAGATGATATATCTATATTCTTTAAACTTCTTTTAAATCTTTTGTTTTTTTATTAACTTTTTTGCAGAATTTAATTATATTAAACTCTGCATTTTATTATTTTTTAAATATTTTACTATATATTAAAATGAATTTAAACAAATAAACTTTTAAGCGGTTCTTATCTTTCTACGAGTCCCCGCATATTTTTATTTTTTCATATCAAAAATGTTTTATTAAATTGCTATATTTTATATTTTGTAGGAAAATGCTGTTTTAAAATGTAATAAAAAACAAAACAAAAAAAACTTTAGCTATTTAAGGTTTTTTTCGTCATTTTTAATATAATTACAACTGTGAACTGATATTTTGACGGTATTATTACCCTAACTCAGTCAAAGAAAAAAAATTTGATTTTCTAATTTTTGCAGTAACTAGAGGATTTAATGCATTAGCGAATATTAAAACATTTTATTACAATTAAGAAATTAGTTTTCTTTAACAAAAAATCTTAGCAGAGCATTTCGATTTCAAAAAACAACTTTTTATAAAGACTTTCTTTAAGTGACTGACGTAAATCCAGACTAATAATAGATAGTAAACACTAAGCTCAACATATTTAAGATAGTAGAAAAGGCGCCACGAATCATGACGCCTGTAATCAAAAAAAGATGATATAAGGTTTTGGGACAAAAATGACTGCTTATTTTGAGATGATGAGTGTTCAAATGTAATAACGCGGATAAGAACGAAGTTATGTTATATACGAGATACTTTGCTCAATTATTCTCAGTTTAAGACGATCCGGATCACCGTGGGCTAGAACAAATAACTTTAAATTGGAGTTGATTTCAAGCTGAATCTTTTGCAAGCAATGATTTATAAATTTCTTAGCTTTTTTAAGTGTTTTTTTTTTTTACGAAATTTCTTTATTGTATTATATTTATTTGTTTCTAGATTAAAATGAGTAACTTAAACATAAAAGGAAAGTATTAATAAATCATAATGTTAATATAAAAACAATTACTGGTTTATTTGTATCTAATACATATTTAATTATATTGTTAGTTAAGTCATAAACTTTAATTTACTGAAATTATTACACACACACACACACACACACACACACACACACACACACACACAAATAAACACATTTACACACACACACACACACACACACACACACACACACAATTACACAAAAAAACCCACACACGCTTTGTATTTAATTAGGAAATAATCTCTAATTTTATTTTTTGCAGTAACTAAGAGTGGAAATGAAGTTGTTGTTGTTTTACAGCATTTTTGCACTTACAACTTTTATCATTTGTAATGCAAAAGAAAAAAAGAACGACATTTTAAAATGTAAATAACTTTAATGCTTTTATTTATTTGTAACTTTTATTAAAACATAATAATTATAAGTTGTTTATAAAAGTTATGACATAAATAGCAGCAAGAAATTTCAGACAAAAACAAGCATTTTTTAGAACAACAAATATTTTTTACTCAATATATTTTTTACTTAAAAACAAATTTAAAAAATTAATATATATAACTTATGACATACATAAAAGCATCATGTATTATTATTTTTTGATTAGAATATTTTTATTTAAAAGCAAATTTTAAAAATTTAATAAAAATAGTTATAAAAGTTGCAGAAATTTTTTTGTTATTTAAAATTAACTTTATTAAATTTATAAATTAAAAAAAAAAAAAATTTAGAAATTGAAGTTAAAATACTCAAAACTTGTTCTGCGGAAAATTGATTGTATTTTAAAACCACATAAACTTAATAATATTATTATATAATAGATATTATCAATGGTACCGCTGTTAAACTAAATTTTGACATTTTATTTTTTTTAATTAAGTTTACCAGAAAATAATATATTAAAATTAATTTTTTGACTAAAAGAGGAATTATATTATTTTTTAAAGCATTATTAAAAGTAAGAGGTTTTTCAACTATTTTCAGTTCTTTAGATTAGAAATTTGTTCAAAATATTTACCATTGTGTTTTAGTAGCAATATATGCCATCTAAAAACAAGTTAACCAGTAGGGTTGGATGTTTTTAATGTACAATACATTATAATAATTACTATTATTACATTAGGTGATGACGACGATTGTGATTTAAATCCAGAATGTTGCAAGGTGCGTACAAAATTATTAGATAAGCTCAATGAAATTAAAGCAATTGGTGGTGTCAAGAAAGAGAAAGTGAAGAGAATTTTAATGAAAAAGGAACAAAACAACAGATTTAAAAGATTTTGTAAGTTTACTTACATTTAACTCTTATTATGTTTCGCAGTGCTATTTGATTAAGAAAGGTAGCTCAATTAATAAGTAAAATTTAAGTTTCTAACATTATTGATACTATTATTTATTTTATAGAATAAAACGTTTTTTAAAAAATTAAAACTAAAGCACTTTCATAACAATTTTAAAACTTAAAATTGACATGACAGTTGGCATGCAATTAAAAACTTAAATCTTGCATGTGGGAAATCTATAGTATCTACATCTATTAAAAAAACACATTGTTTTGCAGTTACCAGAATATTTCTGATGGTAATCAGAGTCAAATGCCTCTATTTTTAAGTTTTTTTTCTTAAATAATTTAAATGTACTTATTAGAAGTCACTCATTTAAGTTTTAATTTATGCATGTTCTAAAAACTTAAATAATGTTAAAGTTAGTTCCACTTGTACGTTTTTCTACAGAAACGGGAAAACTAATCACTTAAGCATGTGTACTAAAAACTTTAAAATGTCCGAAACAAAACTACGCAAGCTAGGATGAAAGCTTTTTCCCGTCTTTTTCATGTTACCGTAAAAAACGCTACACATTCATATTGATGAAGAAATATGCAAAACATTTAGAAACATTTTATAAAAAAAGATTTAATATAATAAAATTCACTTTATTTTGGTAAAAAGTTATATATATTTATATATATATATATATATATATATATATATATAAATATATATATATATATATATATATATATATATATATATATATATATATATATATATATATATATATATATATATATATATATATATATATATATATATATATATATGTATATATATATATATATATATATATATATATATATATATATAATATATATATATATATATATATATATATATATATATATATATATATATATATATATATATATATATATATATATATATATATATATATATATATATATATGTATATATATATATATATATATATATATATATATATATATATATATATATATATATATATATATATATATATATATATATACACTTTTTTACCTTTTTTCAAAAAACGCAAATTCTCTGTGTAAATACCTGTTCTACATCTATATACTAGCTTATATTTAAAATTTTAGCTTACTAGGATCATTGGATCAGGTAGAAGTATTTTTTCAATAATTTGAGTAATCATCATTTTTTGCTAATATATGCTAACAAATGTATGTAAAGAAGCATATATTAGTTTGCAAGTGTAATTACTATTTTATAATATTAGTATTATTAACTTCTATCTGAGATAATTAACAAAAAGGTTTAACAAATGATACATGTTTGCATATCAAACAGCAATATTTATGGCACCTGGTTGATGAATCCTAAAGTTTTTTAGCTTTTCAGACTGAATATTAAGATAGAAAGCAAAGTATTCCACAAGATGCCTGTATTCTTCTCGGGGGAAAATCTCAATTTCAAGAACAAATTTGATATAGGCCTTCGGCTCCAAGTACATCTGATAAATTCCACAACCAATAATAAGAGTATTCTCGTCAAACTTTTCAAAACTAGAAGATGCACCACAAGTAGATATAAACGAGAGAAAATATTCCCATTGCTTTTTAAAGTTTGAGTAAAGGGCTTTTCGTGGACCATTTTTTCGTGGCTTTTCGTTATCTCCAGATACTGCTTTATTGCTTTGTAAATATGTAAGTATGTAAATATGTTTAATATGTATTTAATGTATGTGGTGTCAACATAATAACCACAATAAAGGTTTCTGAAATAATCCTGTCAATATTATAATTGCACCCTCTTTTCTACCAGTTCTAGTTGCTGTAGTTCAACACACACAGCAAATACTTGGTCTAAAACTTCAAAATATTTTAATAAATTTTGAATTCCTAAGGCCTGATCGGGTGCTTTGCCTGTGTCACCTGGAAAAATTCCTAAGAGAAGATCATCCTTGTATTGAAATTCAGGACTAGTAACAGATACGGCAATTCTATCTCTTGTAACTGTTTGTTGGATTTCCCTATGCAAATGTTTAACTAGCTTGCCATCAAAGTGAAGGACAATATTTTTTCCTCTTATTTCCTCGATATAGTTCTTTTTAATTTCATTTCCGTAATTATGAACAACCTCATAACGCTTCAATCTGACGGTTTCTCTGTTTATCTTCATTTTATTTATATCCACTCTTAGGTAGGTCATGATACTGGCTATAAACATTGTTTGATCTCGATAGCTTAAACCGGTTTTTACATTGAGAGGAGTTGTAGCTGCAACTAAGCCATCTCGAGTAATTCCTTTTATGACAAGGATTGTATCGGATTGAAGCTTAATTTGCACATCGTTTTTTTTTTCTTTTTTTTAGCGTTGTTTGGTGTTTCTTGTTGATATTCATCATCATCAGAATTATAACTTACCATCAATGCCAGATTTGAAAGACCTATAATAATATTAACAAAAAATAAAAATGAAAAGGTATATTCACAGTTTATTTTACTTTTATTATATCTCTATAGAATATACAACACGCATGAAAATGTATACTGTTACATGCGTGTTGTATATTCTATAGAGAAAATACAACACGCATGTAACAGTATACATTTTAGTTATTTCATGATAAAAATTAACTGATTCCGATCTCAATTGTATCTTATTTGAATCATTTCCATCAGCATTTTTAATTGAGGGTTCTAAATCTTCTAAATCCAAGTAATCATAGCATTCATCATTATCATATTGGACATCTCCATTGGCCTCTATTGACATTTTTTTTTATAATCAGTATACCTACGGTATTTTTCTTGTCTACGTTCAATTCTTTCCTCAAGTTCTTTATCTATATTCCCACTTATGAATTGTTTTCTGGAATTTTTTTGATCATCCAAAAATGCTAAATTTTCTTCTTTGCTCTCTTTGTTTCTTGGCATATCTTGACTGAGTTGGATAAGCTCTTTAATGTTGGGTTTTCCAATGTCGAAAAGAGTCTCCATGATTGATTGAAATTCTTTAACTAACTTTTCTTTAGTGTCTTTCTTTCAAACTACCGACTTTCCCTTGGTCATTGTTATTCATTTTTTATGAATTTTTACAAATTTTAATAATATTTGATCCTTTCTAATAATATAGTTTTTAAAACCTCAGGACTCCCAGATATTCACAATTTTTCTAAGAAGACACAATTCTCCATTTTCCTAATAGCACAATGTTTTTCCTTTGCATTTCATGTTAAAATCAGACCCCATAGGACAAGAATAATTATCATAAATACTTTTGAATCGTTTTAATCTAATGCTAATTAGATATTGATAATGCCTTAGAATTAACCGGTTCGTTGGAAGCTGATTCTGAGGTATAAATGAAATTCGAGATTTAAAAAGTTAAAAAGGCCTCCTAGAACTGACATTCCGATGAACAACATACTTCGCCTTCTTTTCAATACTTGATTGCATCTTTATTTCTTTATGTTAGCAATTACATTCTTGAAACTATATTTACTCTGCCTTTTTTCTATATTTAAATTTTTTTAATTAGTTAACAGTTTAAAACTGCTCAAATGTTTTGCAATGTTATTTTATTTATTGAATATTAAATGAATAAAATAACACTGCATTGCAAAACATTTTTATACATTTTTTTTTTATAAGCATATAAATTTTTGAAACAGGCTCGGATGCTTAAGCAAAAAATTAAATATATGCTTAAACTTAATATGCTCAAAAATATGCTTAAACTTAAGCATATTTTTTATAAAATATGCTTATATAAGCATATTTTATTAAAAATATGCTGATATATTGAAAAATATATCAATAATTATAGCAATATAAGCAAAAATATTGAAATAATTATTTCAATACTTTCTAAAAATGCGTGCGTTACTAAAGGTTAATGGTTATAAGAAAAATAAAAACTCGACTTTAGTACAGTATAATAAAAAACAAAAAATATATATCGGGTGGACACGGAAAAATCCGGTCAACTTTAAATTGAGATTTCTCTAAAACCATAAATGCTTTTTATTTCAATTTTTTTATTATTAAATGTGTTTACATAAATTAGAGTTTCAACTAAATTACAAAGGGCTTGATGGGTTGCTTGGCAAGAAATCGAACTTTATAGTGGGTTGATGCCATCATTTTACAGATTTTTCTTTTTTCACCATATTGGTGGCATTAATTCACTTTTTTTCGAAGTCCTTTTTATTATTTGTTAGGCCACCTGTCTTACGAAGGACTCCTTTAACTATTGCTCAAAAATCTTCAATCTTGCGCTCTTCAGGACAATTTGGAGGATTCGCATCTTTAGGAACAATTTTCACATTATTATCTTTGCATCACTGTAAAACTTTTTTAGAATAGTGAGAGGCAGCAAGATCGGGCCAAAAGAGACATCGGTATTTGTGTTTTTTTATAAAAGGCAAAAGTCTTTTTTGGAGGCATTCTTTGATCTAGAGATTGGCAGTCAAGGTCATTTTAGTGACAAAACAAGAGGACTGCATACCACAGCTACAAATTGCTTGCCACACAAAGAACTTGGATGCAAATTTTTCTCGTCAAATATATTTAAATTGATCATCGACAGGTTTATCTTTGTTTTCATAGTAAAACTGTTGACCAGGAAGTTGTTTTAACCAACTTCTTTGCGCGTCGAATTCCTTTAATTTCACAATTTAAGCTTCTCTTAGGTGTATTTTTTTTATGAAATGCTTTAATTCCAGCATTTTTGAATACTTTTTTGATATAAGAACGAGAAGTCTTAAATTTTTTTGCTAGATCTCGCTGTGACTGATTTGGATTTCTTTCTATTGAACGTAAAATCGACTTTACCTTTTTGGATTAACGGAAAAAAAAATTTTTTTCCACTTCCAAGTTTTCTTTCGAAGCTTTGAGTAGTCTTGAACTTGTTTATAATATCTATGACTGTAGATTTTGGGACATGTGTGCGTTTAGCAATCAAGCGATAGGAAATCGATGGTTTTTGCAAAAAAAATTCACAA